GAAGGGGGCTCCTGCTGCTCCGAGGAGACTGCCTGCCGAGGGTGGTGTGCCGAGGAAGGGGGCTCCTATTACTCCAAGGAGACCGCCTGCGAAGGGGCCCACCACCAGGCCCTCATATGCTCCTCTCTTCGCTTTCGAGCCCCCAAGGGGGGAGGAGCGCCTGAACCGTCTCTACTACCCAAAGTGGGGCATTCGCAAGGGGGACTCCATTGATACCGAGGGCGTCGGTAGGGCCTCGTCAAGGGGATGGTCCCTCCGGAGGACTGCTTAGACATGATGCAGACGAACCCTGTTGCCATCGTCGACGTGGGGATGGACTTCTTGGCCGAGGTGATTTCCATCTCTTTTTGACTTGCTGCTTGCTAGATTCTACTGGCTTTATTAATGGTGTGCTTGGTGCAGGTCTAGCATCACTATGTCGACCTCAATGACCGCATTTGCCTCCTTCTCGAGCATGCAGCTCGGCTCGAGAAGAAGAATAAACAGCTTCAGGTGCGGGTGGCTTCGACGAAGAGCTGCCGAGATGAGACCCTCGCATTGCTGAAGGAGGAGAAGCTGCTCTGACAAACATTGGAGGATGACTTAAGGGCCGAGAAGGAGTATAAATCAAAGTCTACGAGTTTGTATCAGTTTATAAGGCTGCGTTTGGAAGGAGTATAAATACCGGTTCAATGCATTATTGCATCCCGGTTCACACTTGCATGCGTTTGGAGACGTCGTAAAAATACCCTTAAGATCGATGTAAAATTGCAAATATGTCAGGATTTACATCGATCTTGCAGTGAAAAACAACTTTGAGTTTTTCAAAGTAAAACTTTACGCCCTTCCTTCATCGAGGGAAATAAGTGAGGAGTTTACCTCATACACCACCAGCACGATACAGTCGACCATCGTGCTCAGGGCTTTTGTTTCTCGCTGTTCGCATCCACCACCACCAGTCGACTATCGATGGAAATAGGTGAAAAACAACTTTGCTGTTCGTAGTTCGCAGTCGACCTCTGGTGGCGACGATTCTTTGTTGTTCGCATCCACCACCTATCGCTGTTTGCTTCCACCACCACCAGTCGACCATCGAGGGAAATAGGTGAAAAACAACTTTGCTGTTCACAATTCGCAGTTCGATGTTTGTAGTCGACCTCCAGTGGTGACGATTCTTCGCTGTTCGCATCCAACTACGTGCGCTCCCTGCCCTCCCTTTCTCCTCTTCTACACGATTACAAAAGCATAAAACCCATCTCCACTACTGTCAGCATCTTTTTAGAATAACAAAACCCATCTCCCTGCCTCCCTTTCTGGATTTTTGAGAGACGACAGGGCTGTTCACGGGTCAGGTTGGGTCAGTTTAGCGAGGTTTTTTCAATCGACTTGACCTGATCGGGTTACCTGAGATGGAAATCGAAACTGACCCAGTGTTAAGCAAAACCGACCTGGTCGGTTTGACTCAGATTGAGTCGGTTTTGGCTCTAAGTTCATCCATGCCCCCCATGGCCACTTAGTTTTCTGGAAATATATTTAAAACTGAAATATGTATTTTAGAAATATCTATATATATTTTAGATATAGATATTGGGATATATATTTTCAGATATTTCAGTTTTTAGTTAAGTAGGAACTAAGTCTATTCGGTTCGGGTTGGTTTCGGTTTTTATACAAGAAAACCGAAACTGACCCGAACCATCGGTTTATGAATTTGTACAACCCGAAACCGACCGGTGCTGATGAAAACCCGGCTGACTCGGGTTGGGTCGGTCTGAATTGGTCGGTTTGGTTGGGTTGGGCTTTCTTATGAACAGCCCTAGACGTCACCAACACTTTTGAGTGTACGATAAGTGTTCCGACAGATCAATACTTTTGAAGGAAATGGTAATTTTTTGTAGAAAAATGAGTCATTAATTTGCGTTTTTATAAAATATCCAAACAATCCCAAATTAATACCTTGTTTTGCGCCAACAGTTGCCAAACAAAAAGAGTGTAATTTAAAGGTAAAATTGGGTTCACAATTGCATGCACCTGAACCGGAGATGTGAGATTTTGCAGAGT